GTCCGTAGTGTATGAGAGTGAATGAGTGTGTATGGATGTGGAAGGGCATTCGTTGTGCAAACATTAAAAATGGGGCATTCTGCAAGTGTATGTTTAACAGTTTGGTTTCTGTTGCAATATTTCCATTTTGGAGGTTATTCTCTTTTGAGTAAATGTGCATGTGTGTCCAATATGACATTTTCTGTAAAAAAAAAAAAAAAATCTCATCAAATCGTGAGTTTAAAAAAAGTTTAATGTTCTACCTATTTCTGGCTGAGTTTCAGAAAGTTTATTTTCTGAGCATAGATCCCATTCTGCTTTTGTGAAGGTAAAAGAGTAAAATAATGTTTCATCACGTGTAAATTGAAAGCGGAACTATATACTTTGACCTGTTTTTATTAAAGTATAAAGGAATAAGTGATTACACAACATTTTAAATAATTAACTTTCTGTTGACAAACGGATAAAATGAGTTTGAAATATAATAGAAAAGTATAAACCGCAATCCTTAAATGTTTTTGTATGTCACATTCATAACCATTCATTCATTCATTTTCTTTTCGGCCTAGTCACTTTATTAATCTGGTCTAATTGAATAATCAAGTGTAAAATAATAATTGGTCTTAGTTTTAGTAACAATTTAATAAAATGTATCGTTATTAACTTGTAAAAGTTATAAGCAATACAATTTCTTATGCCTGAATGTTTTCAAAACCCCAAAACACTTGCGAAATTATCAATTATAATCCAGACTCAATATTGCACATATTGATGTGCCTATTGCGAATGATCACCATATTATACGCTATATTATATTATATGTGATCTTAATGCTAAAAGGATATATTGTTCAGCTCTTGTTTTAGCATGAATGTCATTTGCACAACTCAACTTTATTAGTCAATATTAGAACAATTGATTATTTACTAAAAAAAAAAAAAAAAGGACTGACTGTAAAGAGAGCCATCTCTAATCCCAATATTTGTGAGATCGTATATCTTTTGATAGTTAGAAACTAAAATTTGAAGCCACAAACAAAAACCCTGATATTCATTACCTGGATCAAAAACAGAACTTAACATGGTTTTAATTATTAAAAACTGCTTTAAAGTGTGGTTTTGATATTAATTAGAGGAGCTCACTCACTCACCACGTAAATAGAAAGACAGATAGTGATGAATGAGAAACGATGCATCAGCTTGTCTGTCAGACAGCAGGATAAAGTCCCCCTTAAAGTACAGAAAGCATCGGTTAGCCAGTAACGCTGCTAGTTACATCATGTTTACAAAAAGATAAATGATCACTTACAGGTTTGAAAGTGTCTGGAGAAGCATTGAGAAGACTGTTCAATTCAGGAAACATTTCTGTGGTAACCTCAGAGATTAACTTGACAGTTAAAGTAGATTTTGCTTCAGTCTCCTCTTTACTCGTTCAAATATTTAGTATTTCTCATGCTAGCAAAAACATGACTGTAAACACGAGCAGCGAATTCACTTTCATACTATCCAGAGTATAACTAGCAGAGTAGTTGTGATGCTAAATGAATATTTGCGTTGTATACGCATTCAAGAAATCAAGTTAGAGAATGTTTTTTTTTTTTTTGTATATGCTTTGACATCAGTTGCTTTTATATTAATAACAAACAAAAGTAAAGAAATTGCTTACGTTTTTCGTTTTTCTGCTAGTCAACGTGTGTACGGAAGCCGCATTAGGACAATCTTCCAGAAACACGCGTTTTTGGCATTTGTGACTCGTGAATATCGCTTAAAATGCTATTTGCTTTTCAATAAAAACACAACTATTCAATATCAAACCTCTGAAATCTTTATTTTGACCAGAGATAATAAAAGCGCTAAAGACAGGCCCCAATAGTGTTTCTTTACAAAAATATATATGTAAAATCTATACAGAGACAAACTGTTGATATGTTATGTGTGTTCTGCTTTAAGTTAAAACTAAGCATTTGCTTGCATCTCTCTAAAATGAAAGTAATTTTACCTGTCAAACGATTTGTAACAAAAAAAAAGTGTAAATGTAACTAATATTTAAAGCACTGCTGATGACATACTATACGACTGAAATTATACATGCTTGAAAAGGGTACAAGAAAAACAATGTCTAAATAAATCCACCATTCAATAAATAGCATGTTCTTCAAAATCTTAGTAATGAGGGTTTTACAAGGAAGAAAGCTAAATATTTGCATATGTACAGAGCAAAATAGTTGATGCCAGCCCTTAAAATATTATTAAGTGGAATGTGAATCATCAGCTGTTTACCTGGCAAACAGGAGATAATGCAAACCTACAAGAAGCCTGTGTGCTCTACTTCCATAACATTTCAATCGGTATTCATTCACATTTTAAAACCTGACAAAGTAAACGCAACTGATGATATAACTTGACAGAAAGACTGTTGGTAAACAATGGAAGATTTCACAAAGAAATGCAAGCAAGAACATGTTGCATACTTTTCAAAACACAAAACATAGAAATGCAAATCGTGATTTTAGTGTCTAAAAGAAAACAAATCTCTGTAAGATTTAAATTTAAACCATTGCTTGCAAGACTACATAGATGAATGCACGTTTATAAAACATACGTTTCTTTGCCAAGTAAATGCATAGTTTATCCCTTTAACATGTCTCTTCAAATGTCTCGCATCACTATTCTAGAAACATTTTGGGTCGAAGTAAAGCTCTACTGACAATTACAACAAAAAATACTTGTTCTATTTGAAAATGACTTATTAAAAAACAAAAGTATAATCATTGTTTTAAAATACACAACATCAGTACAAATGACTTGTAAGCCCAATCAATCAATGCACAATTCTCTGAAACTGTATAAACTACTTCCATGAGTGAACCGAATTAGTAAAATATGTAATGGGATAATCTTGGATGGACAACATGAGGATACTATTCTAAGATGGATGATAATATAAATATCCATTATAGTATAATAACAGTCCCAAATTCTTTTTTAAAGCATAGACTTAAAACTTGATTCCCGGAGGGCCGCAGCTCTGCACAGTTTTGTTCCAGCCCTAATCAAACTCAGCTGATCCAACTAATCAAAGTGTACAAGACTACTAGACACTATTCAGCAGGTGTGAGTAAATCCTGCAGAGCTGTGGCCCTTCAGGAATAGAGTTTGAGACCACTGCTCTAAAGCATAGTTTCCACTACATCTATGTCATTCATCATAGCTCTGATGGACATATATGGTAGTTGCTGAAAGCCAGTGATTTTAATAGATTAGAAAGTTTTGAATATAATTTTTCTTATTACACTTTCTCCTGCACCATTCCCTGCCATTTATAAAGCTGGGGGAAGAGCATAGAGTTCTTATGTAACAACTCTGACTTAAGTTGATCTGAAATAAGACAAACAAGTAGGATGGCTTGGTTCATTTTACACGGATAACTTTAGTTTTGGGGTGAGATGCTATTTTAAAGAGACTCAAATTAAAATGGCATTTAATCAATTTCAAGTTGCTTGAAACATGGCTGAACTCCAAGTAGATCAAAGCATTTGTACCACCAGTTTCTGGTCCCCACCAACTTCCAAAATGTTGTTTTAATACTTTTGGGGTCACGGCAACTTCTTGGTTATCCACATTCCTCGATTTTCTATTACAAAACCTAGGGCTGGGCGATTTGGCCTAAAATCTAAATCTGGATTAATTGAACATTGTAACTTGATATGGTTAATTATTGTATTTATTTAATTATTTATTTTATACCCTTATAGTTCACTGACAAATTTTATTCAGTAAATATGTTCACATATTACAAGTGAGAGATTTCTGTGAGGTGTATTTTAAATATTTTTAATTTATTTCTGTCCATGTTTTGATTCTCGATTGGCCTCACGCAATCAAGTGATGCTATTTCACAGGTGAGAGTTCACCAAGTTTGAACTTTCCAATGCAGCGAACTGTGAAACTTGTCACACGAGCTTGAGTTTCCGATCTGATGCATTCGCGATTTCGCGGGTTTATGAATGAAAGTCTATGTGGAGAAAAGAACAGTGTGACTGCAGCCTTAACAGAGTGGGGTTACGTGACTCCACATGCGGTAGCGACAGTAATTGAACAAACAACCTGGAAAAATTAGATTGATTATAGATTATGAATGTCGATTTCGATTACTTTTCAATAAATCACCCACCCAACAAAACCATCTTTTGTGTTGCAGAAAAATAAATTGCATACCGTTTTTTTTTGTGAGCAAACATTAAATTGCAAACCGTTTTGTGAGTAAATATGTAAATTTACTTACAATTTAAGTTTCCTCATGTGGTTTCAACCCTTTGCGAGTTAACTTTTTCCACTAAACGAAGAAATGGAAAAATGTTGGATACTGGTAGCTATTGCCATCTATAGTAGTACAACATTCTATAAAAGTCAATAGCTACAGGTTTCCAGATTTTTTTTCTCTCTCTTCTAAATGTCTTTTCTGTTAATCAGAAGAAACTCAACTATGTTTGGAACAAGTGAAGGGTTAGTAAATGTTTACAATTTACATTTTTTGGTGAAAGTGAAGGACTCTGGTTCGAGCTTTGGTTGGGTCAGTTGGTGTTTCTGTGTGGAGTCTGCATGTTCTCCCTGTGTTCGCACGAGTTTTCTCCGGGTGCTCCGGTTTCCTCCACAAGTCCAAAGACATGCGGTACAGGTGAATTGGGTAAGCTAAATTGTCCATAGTGTATGTGTGTGCATGAGTGTGTATGGGTGTTTCCCAGTGATGGGCTGCAGCTGCAAGGGCATCCGCTGTGTAAATTATATGCTAGATAAGTTGCCAGTTCATTCCGCTGTGGCGACCCCTGATTAATAAAGGGACTAAACGAAAAGAAAATGGATGAATGAATTTTTTGGTGATCTTTAAATGCTTGCATACTATCATTAGAGTTGTATAATTTGACTTGATTAGTATTATTTCATCCTCTGCGTAAAACATATGCTGAATAAGTTGGCGGTTGATTCCGCTGTGGCGACCCCAGATTAATAAAGGGACTGAGCCAAAGGATAATGAATAATATTATTTCTAAAACCTACATGACTGCTGTACATTAAAGGGACATGCTTCATCTTCATATTCTTCCAATCTGAGCAGCTCAGCATTATTGTGGCCACCTAAATATTATTAATGCTACGACTTTTTTGTAGAGGTTTTTACAAAAACTGAACGCTAGGAGTAAAAAAAGGATAAAAACAAAAGCTTATGATGTACAATAAATAAATACAATATGACACTTCAGGCACACAGACTAAAAGAGTGTTTGTAATTCCTGAGTGTTTGAGTCTTTGGGTTCACCGTTACGGCGTGTCCTCAGAAATGGCTGTGATATCTGTCGACTCCACTAATGTCACAGTTTCTCCTGTTGTTGAATCCAGAGGTTCCTCTTTAATGATGATGGTGCCTTCTGGCAACATGACAACTTCCTCTTCACCAACTACCTCCTCCTCTTCTTCCTCTTCTTGGAGTACTACTTCCTCTTGGGGCTCTGTGCCGTTGGTCTGTCCATTGGCAATGGCTTCTAGTTTCAGCCTGTACTGCTCAGCTTCCTGTTCCTTCCGCATTAACTGCTGTCGGTACTCCTGCGCTTTTCTGTTTGCTTCTTTTAGCTGCTGTTCCAGTACTTCTCGACTGTCCTTCTCATCGGGCTCCTGTAGAAAACCCCAAACAGTCAGACCTGTTTTGCTGTCGCATTCTAAACAAGTACAATTTCAATAGAAATCTCTGCAGGTCAGACCTTATGCTTGACATCTGTGTGGTTCATCGTTGATTCAAATTTCCGCTTTCGTGATGGAACTGGTTTGGGCTCCTCAGTTACGATTTCTTCTGCAATCTGACCTGCTGGCACTGCAACCACTAAATGTACAGACATGCCAGGTTTTAAAGAGGTCATGAATTGAGAAATTAAAGTACATTTATTTTCAAATATATTATATTAATATATTTTATATTATCTAATGTAAAAACAGCTTATAATGAAGCCAGTCTGCCAAAATAACGCCTCTTTGTTACATAAGTTTGTTTAAACCCAAACTCTGCAGATCAAAATTCACTTCTACATTACTGACTGTTTATCTCTGCACACTGATTCACGGTACAGTAGGTGAAGAGAGAGGCAAACAAAAGTCCACAAAACCAAAACAATAAACATGGTAAAGATAACAAGATGCCCTGGGGCCTCATGTATCAACGCTGCGTACGCATAAAAACTTTGCGTACGCCAGGTTTCACGCTCAGAATCGCTCACTTTGGATTTACTAACGATGAACTGAACGTGGGAATGTGCGCAGCTCCACGGCAGCTTTATGGCTGGCGTACGCACATTTTTTGTGCGTGTCTGTTTTATTTCCATTGGCGACTCCTAGAGGCAGTTGTGTTAAATTCCTCTCTACAAAGTGTCTTTAAGCCTTGCAATGGCAGCTGTATGAGACGGGTTCATCTAGCAGGTATATAAGGGTTCCATACCATACAGTTGACCAGCTAAACATTAAAGCGCAATTTGCAGCGGTCGCCTGTTTTCCCATTGTAATCTGAGCGATCTACCGCACGCACATTGCTATAAAGACACTATCTGAAGATGAATTTGGATGCGTGAATCAGAAACATTTCCATTCAATAAATGTGCTAATAAAATATGATGCACAGACTTATTATTGATTCCTACTTGTCTTTCTCGTGATAAATAGTTGGCAAGATCAGATATGTAGCGGGGGAAAAAAGAAGAAAGAGTTCATCAGACGCTGGATTCGAACAGAGTTCATGCTCGAAGTGTCAAAACATGTTAACATGCATCTTACGAGCTGCGCCACTGACTGTTGAGGGTACTGCAACATTTTACACCTATAAATCACACAATTTCTTTTCTAATTCACTCAGTGCGATGTTCAGACCCAACTGTGTTAACCGCATCAGCTAAACTCTCCCACTCAATTTTTTTCTTTTGTTGTTAATTGCGGAGAACAAACGTGCAAATAACACCGCTTTTCTCCGGTCTACCTCTGAAAGGAGCACCAATTCACATTCTGTTCAAAGTTTCTCTTTTTGCTTGCTTTTGCCATTGCTTTTTCGTTGGGTTTTTCCATTAGCATAGTCATTTGCATATTCATACGGGGGATGAGGCAGGGAGGGGTTTTGTGCTCGTGCATGTTGCGCTCAGTTTCACGTTCATTCAGATGTTCAAAATAATATGCGTGAGATTCGGCGTACGCAGTGTTTCATACATCTGAATTTTTTTCTGCGTACGCACAAAGCTGTAAATGTGTGTAAATGTGTAAATGTTTTAGTATGATTTCCACGCAAGTCTTCGTACATGAGGCCCCTGGTCTTTGCATTTCATTCCAACAGATGGCAACTAGGGATGCTCAAAATAAATGATTAAGCGTATGCGTTAACCGAAAGGGTGCGTTTTTAACTGAATTACTGTATCGGTTAAACGATTTAAACTATTATTTTATTTATATTTTTAATGTTTGGCTAAAGTTTAGGCATAAGGGGCTGATCACAGCAAATGCGCTTTTATCCATTGAGAGGGGGATCTTTTGAATGAATAACTAATGGCTATGAGTGTTTTGCGCCCTGCGCGCCTCGCATCCTTTGAGGTGACAGCAGTGTTGAGCTTTCAAGACGTGAGTCTACAGAGACTTTTGAAGATTGAGGAGAGACTAGCGTTCGCTGTTTCAAGTTTTTCGGAGCTGTATTACTTTACAAATCTTGAATATTGTTTAATATTACAATTTTAAAAACATTGACAGCAACACTCGTGATCAATACGCAGCTGATTCAGTCATTTCCTAGTGACATAAAAAAAAGAGCACTGCACTTTTTTTCTTGTCAACAAAAAGGCAGTGTGGTGTACCTTGAGGTTTTGGAGCGTAAACACAGCAGCTGCGTGAAGATGCTCTGTTGTTCTGAATGCTGTCGTCCGCATGTTAAAATAAATCAGTATTTTAAAATGCAATATTTAATGTCACACAAAATAGACACATCAATCATTTTTTTAAATTAACAATTTAATATTAATTTGACCAGTTAACAGTTAATATTCGTTAATGAGCAGCGGTTGTTGGTTGGCAAAATTAACCAAAATGAGCATCCCTAATGGCAACCTTAGGAAAGAGTGGATTAACTTTATTTTTTTAAACAAGGTCAGAGACTAGGTCACTAAACTCTGTCCTTTTAAACTCTGTGTGAAATAAAAAAAAAAAGACAAAATGTTTATTTTGCTAGTGCACATTATTATTCTTTATATATAACTAATAAATGATAGAACTAAATAAATCTCCACTGTGTTACTGAACAATGCATCATCGATGACGTAAGCATGCTCAAGCTCGAAAGCAATTTGAGTGCAGGCTGTCAAGGGAGACAGGAAGGGGGACAAGCATGCTTCGGCCTGGTTCGAGGCAACTGTACACCGTGTGAGTGCACCCTTAATCTGTGCAAGATAATCCACAGGAAAAAAAATATATATATATTTTTTTTTTTGGTTATTTTCAAAATCTGACAATTTGCTTCTTATTCGAGTGGCAGTCCTTCTCCATTGACGCCAGTTTGTCAGCTTCAGCCACAATATTCTTAACCATGCCACTCTTAGCATTAGTTTGCTGCAAGGGAATGATGCACAAAAAGAAAGCCCCTACTCAATATTCCATTTGTTGGAAGTACATCAACATACTAAAATAAGTCTCTGCAGCTTCTGGTCATTTTGCCATGAATTAATTTTCAGAAAAGGCACAATTCAGCACGGAAATTTCATAAAGAAAATATGATGCTGTTTCACCTAAACTGGACCTGACAGTACTGTCACACCACAATACAAATGAATAATTATTTTTTTCACTATTGCTTTGTCTGTAATAATCGATTTTTTTAAATGTATTTATGTATCAAGTATTTATGCGTTTTTGTACACTAAATCACAGCAGTGTCCATCTTTAAGTGAGCATACACAGCTCTCCTTTTAGACTTTTAAACATTTTTAAATATGCAAATCTTTCTTTACACGCTTATTTCAGAGTCTACAATCCACTATTATCTGTGACAAAAACATGACAGAAACTAGCCTGTTACTTCTTCTAAATAGTTTTTTTTATCACAAATTTTTACATTTATAAGTGGATCTCAGAGACAACAGAACAAATTAGAAAAATTCATGTTCATGATTCTTTCAAATACTGCACCAAAGTCTTAATAGGTAAGTAGATTAGCATATACTCACTTTGCTGCCCCTGCATGGTGACAAAGAATTTATGTCCCAAGTTGCCAGGCTGCAGGTTTCCCTGTTGGTCGGTTACTATAGTGATAACTCTCTGGCCATCTTCCCCTACAAGATGCTGAATGGCAGAATCTACTGAATCAGCAGCTATCACACTCTCTGAAGCAGCTGGTTTAACAGGGGACAAATACACAAATCCAATTCAATTCAAATTATAAGTCAAACTTAATAGGATTGATAAATTGCAAATTGTTTTAATTACTTGTGTTTTAAGAGCTGTTTACAAAACCAAAATCTGAAAAACTACATTTTGTTCATTCATTTACATGTTAACATTGTTTTGGGGGACCTGAAAATGCAAATGTAAGCAAAATACTGTTATGGTATCCATATAATCTTTAAATAAAATGTATAATTTTCATGGGAAATTGATAAAGGATGAGTGTGACAGGAGGTAAATTCTCATATTACTGGCAAAAAAAAGAAAAAAATGTAATGAACCTCATACCTGTATTGGACTTAGCATTGCTGAGAACAATATCAGAAAGATTGACCACCCCAGAGGAGGAGATGATGAACTGAGGGCTGGAGGTGGCAGGCGACGTGCTGCTCAGGATAGTCCTCTCTGGATTCATGTTCACTTGATTCTGCATTCCCTCCTAGAATAATTATAATAATGCAAAATTATAAAGACATTCTGAGAGTCATCTTATTTATTTATTTATTTTTTACCTGTAGCAAGAGCATCAGATCAGTGTTTCCTCTGTCCACTGAAATGTTAAACGGAGTCTTATCAAACTTGCTGAGGGCGTGAGTATCTGCACCGTATTTGACCAACAGCTCCACGACTCCCCTGTGCCCATGTTCTGTGGCCCAGTGCAAGGCGGTCATTTTCAGCATGTCTTTGGCATTGATGTCTGCTCCGCTCTGTCCAAGATATGATCGACCAATTAACATGAGTCAGAAAGTCAATCAAATCTAATACTAATCTGAGATCATTTGATCTTACCTTAACCAGTAACTCAACAATGCTTGAGTGGCCCTCTGCTGCTGCCATGTGGAGTGGTGTGCGGTCAACTTTAGTGCGGGCATCTCTACTCACGCCAGCACGGAGAAGCACCTCAGCGGTCGAGTAGTGCCCATATTGTGCTGCTAAATGTAGCGGTGAGGTTCCCAGCTAAAATACAATAGCATTGTGAGTACTTTTATTCTAAAATTCTGATTCAGAAAAAAAATGTGCAGAAGTGAAAACTAAATTTTCTTATTCAATCATTTTCCTTTTATTGATTTTAACCAAAAAAAAAAAGCTTTAAAAACAGATGTTGTAAGCTAAGTGGCTGTTAAAGCAATTGTATATAATTTTGTTGTATTCAACAGTTTTTTTTTTTAACAGGAACATTTGTGAATGGGGGGAAAAGAAAATTCTACTAATGTAAAGTCATAGAACAAAAAAAAAAAATTATTTTTTCTTTCTAGCTCTGTCCTTGAAGCATCACTAATAATTGTACACAAAACACAGTGGAATGAACTACCAACTTATTCAGCATATTTTTATGCAGCGGATGGCCTTCTTGCTGCAACTCATCAATGGGGGAAACAAGACTATTTACTGATTACCTATATATTTAGCAATAAATATGAAACATATTGTTTCTATAGATAGGCCTGTCACGATAATCAATATAGCGACTTATCGTGCAATACTTGGAGACCTCAATAATTTTTGCCGTTGCAATATACATTTACAAATTCATAAATAATGTTAAAGCTATTTTACATTTATATTCTAACTCACTGCTGTCCAAGTTTATATTTGGACATTTACCTAATAGGAAATTTAATAGTATATACATATTAGGAAAATTACCTTTTTAAAATCAGATTATATAATCTAAATCAGTGTGTCTCAACTGGTGGGTCGCAGGAACATTTTCAGTGGGTTGCAGAGTGTGTGGTCAAAAAAACAACAAACGTTTAATTTTTTACTTATTTTGCTTATACCAGACTTTTATTTTGAAATGCGCGAGTGACAACTGCACCGTTTGACATGTGAAATTTCATTTAATTATAGCAACAAATATGTTGAAGTGCAAGTAGGACCCCGAATATGTAAAGTATGGATTTACACATATTGATGACAAAAAAGGCTCAAAACCTCATATACAAAACTCAGTGTGTCATATGAAGTGATGTGCTGTCACAAGAGCACATTTAGAAACCAAACATTTGTCGTTTTTACTTTGTAATATTTCTATATTTGAGACTAGGGTTGTAACGGTATGAATTTTTCACGGTATGATAATCGTCTAAAACAATACCACGGTTTGACGGTTTCGCGGTATACGGTATGTTACAAAATAATAGAACAGTGAAGCAAATTTGACTTTTTCCAAATAATATATTTTTAGTTACTATAAACAACACCACTTACAATGAACAAATAAAAATAAGAAAATAATAAATAATGTGTCAAAGTCCAAATAAAGTCCAAATAAACATGGTGCAAATCCTCAGTTAAAAATTGATATAAATATTTACTATACTATAAATAGTTACATAACGAAACTAGATTCAATATGGAACATCCTTAGGTTTTATGTGCCAGCATGGATATGGTTGTCTGTGGATTTGGATATGGTTGTCTGCAATGCAGACAAACAGCTGCACCTTCATTTGCGTCTTTTGAAAACAGCAAGAGCAGCAGTTTGTCTTTGCTGTGTCACTGTTTTGTCATGTTTCTGTGCTGCTGTGCATGCAAAACTTTTTTTTTTTTTGCGTTTTATTTAGCCGCGCATAAATGTATGCCTTTCTCTCATTCCGTGTTGTTCAAAAAGCTTGGTCCACAAACAAAAGCGAAACCTATGCTTATTGGTTGTGATATAGCGAGTTTGAACCAATCTGGGCATGGAGGAGGGATAATGCATCAATGTATCATGTCTGGTTTGTCCGGAGACACAGTGACGAGCGTTTCTTTGTCAAATCAGCGTTGTCAAATGTTGATGACGTAACCGCACTGATTCCGGAGCCTCTGAAAGTCCGCGAATGTTATGTGATACAGCACAGGAAAGCTGAGATTCTCTTCTTTATGCATCTTTAAACATCTTTGAATTGTATGAATCGGATCAGCAGATCAAAAGTTATTAAACATTTAAGAGCAATACTTATTTTTAGCCGCGAGCGGCTGTCTCTGCCTTTAAGGGTTAAAACCGTTGATATGCAATTGTTCATGGTATGATAATCGTGCACGTTCAAATCGTGGTAAACCGTCATACCGGTATATTGTTACAACCCTATTTGAGACATTTTGTTAAATGACAGCAATAAAATATTGTTTATTTGTAAGTCTTGCTGATTTTCTTATAATATGATATTTATCTGTCACTACTTGTGTATATTAACAAATAAATACAAATTAATTATGATTCCCAAAATTATATTATAGTTCAGGGGTGGCCAAACCTGTTCCTGGAGAGCCACCTTCCTGCAGATTTCAGTTGCAAGTTGCAACCCATATCAAACACACCTGAACCAATTGATTAGGACCTGAACACCACGTGATAATTACAGGCAGGTGTGTTAGATATGGGTTGCAACTGAAATCTACAGGAAGGTGGCTCTCCAGGAACAGGGTTGGCCACCCCTGTTATACTTTTTAAAAATTTGGTTCGCGGGTTGATGACCATGTAAAAATGTGCGTCCCATGGCAAAACCAGTTGAGAACTACTGATCTGAATAACCTTAAGAATAAGTATTTTAAAGTGTTTATAGGCATTATATAATCAGTGGCATAAAATGATCTCAAAATGACAATAATATCGCTTATCAACAATTTCTGTGACAATATATTGCACTACAAAAATTCTATTTCTAAAACCTATAGACAAAAACATCTTACAATAAAAAAAATGTTCATTTTTAATCAGATGAGTTTGTGTCATTCACATTTTTTCTTGATTGCAGTTCTTTACCTCATTAAAGCTGTGAAGAACCCTTGTTTTATTTAGTTTTAAGTCAAATTATCACATACTACTTTACCTCAAATCTATAATGCTTCAGTCTATAATGTTGTGATATACCTCAGAACTGGATGGTTTGGTTCATAGCTTATAAAGGACTTTTTTTGTTTTGCTTGCTTACTTCAAGGAGTTAAACTGATTTGAAAAAGTGAACGGGCAAATACAACTCACCCCAAAAAAGTGGATGGGATAATTTAACTCACCCAGTCTGTGGTAAACGGAGCTCCATTGGCCATAAGTGACCTCACTTCATCATCCTGTCCTTTGCGAGCTGCTTCCAACAAGCGCTTGCCCAAATCCACAAGTGACATCTAATGAGGATTGAGGCATCAAGAAAATAAAATAAAATAATAGCAACTTTTTAGTATTAAATTCATTTAATACACTTTTATCCAACTTACAAATAAGGATAAAAGAGACACTTCAGGTCACCAGAGAACAACGATATACATTTTACATTTAAATTATTCATTGTTTTATGTTTGTTTACATAAACTGGTTGTTTAACCAGATGTAGCATGTTTAAAAGATGCAAAGCAGGTAATAATTCTCCACGATTAACTTGTATGCAGACAATGTGGATATATTAGTCGTATGACTTCATCCCACAGGGAACAAATTATTTGAGTTTAAGGAAACGGATGTGTAACTGTTACATTAATGTAAGTTATGACACAATATATTATCAGAGTCACGACGGGAAATAGTCATCATTTTATAATATGGCAAGTTCCGGGGGAAGTTGATTTCATGCTGGACATTTCTACTAGCTAAACGATATTACGGAGAGGCTGAATGGATATTTTAACACACTATAAACAGGTTTAGCGTGAATTATATAACATTAGCGTTATAATTAAATGCAGTTCTAAACGGGTTAACGATGACTATTATTACCGCATTGTTTACCTGAAATATTTTCTAAATGTATTCAGCATATTTTACGAGGCATTAAACTGCAGACTGTACGTTATTAACCATAATGCGATAAATAATGATTTATTGTCAAAATGTATGCTCTTTAATAAGTTTTGAATAAGTTACGCTTAAGTTTTTAAGTTCGGAAACAGCTGCTCTTATTGTCCTGTGATCGTCTGCGGATACTTTATCGCTAAACCCGTGTAGAATCTGAAATTAAAATCTCGATTAAAGACAGTTCATCAAACTCCTGCAGTCAGTAAACAGAATAAAGCAAAACTTCTGCAGCTCACCTCGCCAGCTGGGCTTCCCGAAGACGGTTGCTGTGTTATAACACGTTAGATACGGAAAGGACCAGACGTATGCTTCGGTTGTTTAATGCGGTTAAGTGTTATACCATACTTTTCTATACTTTTTAAAAACAAAAATAATAAAGATGGGCTATTTTTCGTCAAAGATGGCGCACGAACGCAACCGGAAGTAGAAATATTTGATTGGTTCTTCGCTGGTTGTGTTGAGAAGTTGTGGCGTCTATAGCGCTCCCTACTGCATGAAAACTGTTTTTGAGCCTCAAGAAATTTGTTCACATACAGTTTTATTTCTTTTTTTTATAATATAAAATTTTATAATATATAATTTTTTATCCCATAGAGCAGGGATCCCCAAACGTGTTCCTGGAGGTCCGGTGTCCTGCAGATTTTAGCTCCAACCCTAATCAAACACACCTGAACAAGCTAACCAAGGTCTTACTAGGTATATGTTGGAGCAAAACCCTGCAGGGCACCGGACCTCCAAGACCGAGATTGGTGACCCCTGCCATAGAGTGTAAATATCTTTAAAAATATTCTAAAAGGTTATGTTATTGTCATGTATAGAAGATTGACTGTCTTCTGCAGTCAATAACTGTCTGGTTTAGCTCAGCTACCAAATCTGACCTCTGAAGACTAACGTTATGTCGAATAGTGAATCACTCCGAATTACTGGTACAACCCTCCCTACTCTCCAAGAACTGTACGCATCCAGAGCCTGTTTAAAAGTTACTTTCTTCACCAGTAAAGAGACTGAGACTATAACTCACTTTAATCCAAAACTTCTCTTTCACTCACAACATTGACAGTGCAACACTAAAAACAGTTTACCCCTTCAACAACACAGACATTATTAGTTCCTATTGTCACAGAGCCAACAGAAGGGCAGTCAAAAGCACCAGGACCCCTCACACCCAGCACACTGGCTGTTCGAACTTTTACCTTCTGGTCGACGCTACAGAGCATTGCGCACACACAACAGCCTGTAGAAACAGTTTCTTCCCTCAGGCAATCCATCTCATGAACACTGGATGATATAGTAATAGTGAGACAAACATTACTACTTGCTATACACTTTTTATACATGTATACACTTATTTATTAACATACTTTACATTCCATTTTGCACATAACAGCTGCACATATAACGTTGTAAATAGTAATATACCTACACTTGTCTGCTTTTTGTCCCGTCACTGTAATTGTTGCACTGTAGAAGCTCTGACACAAAATAAAGCTCTTTCTGATTCTGTATGGAATATTGTTTTGACATCGTAATATTTGATCATATTTAGTAGATAAAAACAGCATAAAAATAAATCTCTCATAACGTTTCTTTTTTAATACTTATAAAAATGTTTGCATTTAGAGCACATGTTTTTTCATTTATTCATTTATTTTCATGTCAGCTTAGTCCCTATATTAATCCGGGGTCGCCACAGCGGAATGAACCACCAACTTATCCAGCATGTTTTAAGCAGCAGATGCCCTACTAGCCACAGCCCATCTCTGGGAAACATCTACGCACTCATTCACACACACACTCATACACTACGGACAATTTAGACTACCCAATTCACCTGTAACACATCTTTGGATTGTGGGGGAAACCGTAGCACCCGGAGATAACCCACGCAAACGCAGGGAGAACATGCAAACTTCACACAGAAATGCCAACTGAGCCGAGGCTCGAACCAGCGACCCAGCGACCTTCTTGCAGTGAGGCGATAGCATTTCCTGCATGGTTTTTCATAAAATGGCAATTGCTCATACAAATGTTTTATTTGTTGAGGTTGAAAATCAGCACTACTCCACCAAATATTGATTTCCTAACATTATAAAGTTGAAGTATTTGTATTGTGTCATCTAAAGGTGATTCTAAACATGTTTATGAACACATTCTCTGTTATTTTTTTTTATGAAAAAAGCACCAAATGATAACTTGCTTTAAATTCAGAAAGAAATGTAAATCCAGAGAAACAGAATTGAATTTATAATTGTAGTAATATAAATTAAATAAAAAAATAGGAATTTAATTTGCACATACCTTTGCTTTTCATTAGATAATCAATAAATCAGATAAAGCAATATTTTACATGTTTTACCTTTACACCTGGCCCAGAAATTGTTATATTCGGGTATACTCTTGTTCTCTGCTGGATTATGATATGTCCATACAAAACACCATGATTTATGAAATGATTATTGCTAAGAGTGTCATAATAAAACTGTGGAAATCAGATTCTATTCTTCAATTTAAGACATGGTTAACTCATCTCACTCAAATATTCCACATGGAAAAAGTTTGATATTGAGTTATTGATCATCTTAAAGTTTTACATAAGTTTTACAATATGGCAACCATTTCTTGATCACCTGGACCAATACAATGCAGAATCTGTGCAGCATTCTGGGCAGCTTAATATGCTCACTACCCCTATATATTGACTGCCTCTTTGTATTTTTGTATGTATGTATTTTGTAATATATTTATGTATGTATTAATTTATTGTTGTTTTTTTTAATTGAGTTAATGAATGAGAGGTTAGGGGATGGACAATACATTACTGTTTACCTCTCAATATTGAATTTGTATAGTCATTTAAAAGGCCAATAAAAAGATTGAAATAAAAAAGCAATATTTAGCATCATTAAAAAAAAAACTATTTCTACAGACCATTTTAAAAATGCGATATCATTCATCCATAAACCGTTCCTGCTTGTCTTAAAACTTTTTCAGAACTTTAACAGAGACGACTATACCTAATGTTAACATGGCTGTCATTGTTTGAGTGGTTAAAGGTTACTCCCAAGATGTCCTCCCAATTTTCCAAAAATTATATTTTCCTTGTTTTATTAGGAGAAGATGTTAATATTAAATTTGTATTAAATAATATTCTAATTTTGGGGAAATGTTTTATTCATAAATGCAAGTGCCTTAAAACAAAACCACTGTTTTAATTTTCTAAATGGAGTTTTGGTTATACTGTAAATCTTTAAAGTTGCTACAATCAAAATGTGGAAGAAGACTGTTTAGTTTATTGAAAAAAAAATTAATAGAAGACCTGATGTAATCTTTCTTTCTTTCTTTCTTTCTTTCTTTCTTTCTTTCTTTCTTTCTTTCTTTCTTTCTTTCTTTCTTTCTTTCTTTCTTTCTTTTAGTTGTGTTTGTGCGTCTATTCTATGGTTTAAGTGTATTATTATTTTATTGATTTGATTATTATGTGTGCTCTGTTCTATAAATGTAGATGAAAGTTGTTATTCAAGAAAAAAAAAAAAAACACTGCTGTCATTATAAAAAGTATCAACATGTGGAACTTTCTGGATTCTCAGAATCTTTGACCGTCCCTCAAAATGGTCTTAATGGGTCAAAGACAAGATGTCACTTTTCACCTTTTGTATCAATATAGTATAAAATGAAACAACAATCTTATCCTGACAAATGGCTGACGAATGAATAAAACCTACGATTGACTGATGTGATGATGCAGTATGTAGCTTTCCAAACATCTAAAATATTAGGAAAAACAATTATATGAATATTTATTGCAAATTATTGATGTCAAGTCAAGTTGGCTTTATTGTCACTTCAACAATACACTCTAAAAACGTTGAGTTATTTATTTAACCCAATGGTTGAGTTAAAAAAAAAAATGTATACAGTGCAGTACAGTGAAACGAAACAATGTTCCTCCAGGACCAAGGTGCTACATCAAACAACATAAATTGAAACATAACACAGGACTGTGCACTACTATAACATGTAGAGAATGAAATAAAATAAAATGATAAGATAAACTAAAATTAAAATAAATAAAATAATAAGATTTGATGCTTGAAAAACAACATACATCTTTGACCAAATTATGCTTATACACTCCATATATCCATAGTCTGCACGTGTTCCCTGTTGGTGGCGCTGATGGTCTCTGGTTTGCAGTATTTCCTCATATTAATGGGGAAACTTCAACCACACCTCAGTGATCTGGGAAACACGGAGTCATTTCCACTCTCAGCTACAAGAGCTGCTTCACTTCAACCGTTCGCCGGGACTGCTTTTACACCAAAGGTAACGTTTTTCCTGTACGTTTTCGCCCATATTAGAAAGTAAATCAACTTTTTAAAGCTTCAGTTGAACTTTAGCAGTTGATCTGAACCGCTATCATGCCCCCGTATCGACCGAGCCGGATTGTTGAGTCAAACTTTGAGCTCGAGTTCAGTTTCAGTAAAAGACGGGAAAGATAATGGATGGATGGATGAAGATAGTTTTGTTCACTTCTGGCAGTTTAATCAATGAGGTGTTGTTGATCGGTTGGCGTAAATAAAAAAACATTTGAAACTTTTACGCAATTTTGTTTTCCTTAAAACTTCCTCAGGGCTGTTTTTTCTGTTTGCGGTTTGTTTTTTTGGAACGTTTTTAACCGTTTGCCGTTACACCTAACGTTATATGTGTTATTTTAGTGGTTGTCAGATTTTTACACTGGTAATCCGTGTATTTTTCTTTCTTGTAACGAATTCGCTATGTAAAGTTCTCAGGAAAGCGGTTGGTTGTCACAAACTACTGAACTGTCTTCCTGGACAGCATAAGGAGCCCTTTGATTGCTCAACTGCTGTCTAAACGTAGGCTTCACCTCAGATTCAGCGCTTCAAGTATTAGGCTAACGTACTTTTAAGCTTATATTGTTTATTTAGTAGTATAATTATTGATTTACCTGCCTTGGTACATAATTTTGAAATACCATCTTTTTAACACACTGTTCTTGATTTACCATATATTGCCATGTGATAAATATAGTGATCATGACATCACTGAATGATGGTTCTAGGTCTACCTTAAAACTTTAAAACACTTATTCTAACCGTTCAATATTTACTTATTTAAAGGCCTTATTAATTTATTCAAATATTTTACTTATATATTTTACTGAAATATGGTAAGCATTGAATAATATTTATGCAAGCAAGTGCAAAATGTAGTGAGCCTGCATGCCTTTTTCTAGTTTGAAAGTCATACGTAGTTTTGCTTTGTATAATTTGTCTTGCTTATTGACTTCTTTTTTAGCATAAAATAATGACTTTCATATTATTATAAAACTTTTATAATAATATTTTATAATATTATTTTATAATTATTGTTTAAATATGACAAGTCATAAATCATGATAAATAAATAAAAATCATTCAGACCTTTTTTACCTTGATTGATAGATTGATGGCCAGACAGCCACTAAAATTATATTTTGTGTAATTTTTCTAAATCAAACTAGTTTGTCAGGCATGTTTAGGCACAAATCATCCCACAGTACAGCGCCTAAAATATTCCAAATTAATTATTCTTGTTAATTAAATATACAATTAAGTATACAGCATATGACTACACCCCATTTTGAAAATGAATGTTTTTATAAATTTTTTTAGTGAATATAGGTAATATATATTGGTGCATTTGAGCATAACAGATATATTAAACGGATATATTAAGATAGGCGAGGCAGTGGCGCAGTAGGTAGTGCTGTCGCCTCACAGCAAGTAGTTCGCTGGTTCGAACCTCGGCTCAGTTGGCGTTTCTGTGTGGAGGTTGCATGTTCTCCCTGCGTTCGCATGGGTTTCCTCCAGGTGCTCCGGTTTCCCCCAGTCCAAAGACATGCGGTACAGGTGAATTGGGTAGGCTTAATTGTCCGTAGTGTATGAGTGTGTGTGTGTGGATGTTTCCCAGAGATGGCTTGCGGCTAGAAGGGCATCCGCTGCGTAAAAACTTGCTGGATGAGTTGGCGGTTTATTCCGCTGTGGCGACCCCGGATTAATAAAGGGACTAAGCCGACAAGAAAATGAATGAATATATTAAGATAATATTTTAGTTACAGAACATCTTTAGAAATGGAAAGATAATACAATTAAATTCATGCAAAATATTGCAAAACAAATGACAAGCTACATTTCAACATAATTGTATATTTTTTTTGTTTCTCTTGATTTTTGCTAATTTTTTTTTAATGTTATTTAATATTTTTCCCTAACATGTACATTTGGGTTACTAATTTTTTAACCGTTGTGGTAAGTTATTTTGTTAGATTAGCTCCAGATTTGGCTTCAGTACTGACTAATCTAATGTTTATGCACTAATATATTGTACAGCATCCTATAGAAAATATTAATTCAAATGAGAGATTTGTGGGGGTGTATACATGTATGCTGAGCACTGTAAATATTAATATTTTAGACCTGACATTTAAAGGGATAGTTCACCCAAAACTGAAAATTCTGTCATCGTTTTACACATCCAACACTTCTACTATACCTGATTGAGTTTCTTAACACCTGTAACCACTGACTTCTCGAAAAAAAATTATTCAAAGATGATTCCTTGGATTTACTTGATTTTTTTTACGTGATGTGGTTGTTAACAATGTATTTGGGCTAAATTTAAACAAAGTAAGTTAAACATTATTAAACTTAATTTGTTTGTTTAAATTTAACGCAAATAAACAGTTTGCTGCAGTTCTGCATGCAACACTTTTTGAGTGTATTTGTTTTTCCTACTATGGAAGTCAATGATTACAGGTTTTCAGCTTTCTTCAAATTAACTTCTTTAGTGCTTGACTGATTAAACAACCACTTTAGGAGGAGTAAATCGTGAGAATTTTTATTTTTGGATGAAATATCCCTTTAATTAACGGAGGTGAGAATTATTTCATTTGACATTGTTTACATGTAATGACCACAGTATATTATTTTGCCATTTTAGTTTCACCAAATTACTGACTTACTAAATTACTACAGCTTACTGACTTTCACTTATGCATTCTAACTGCAATAACATCACTTTGGTAACTTTGCCAAAGACAGCAAAAAAGAGTGGCTCTTGTCTTTTATAAAGATTGCTAGTATGATAAATTCATTCAATGAAAACTGTTTTTCAGATTCATCTCCAACAGAACTGCCTCACATAAACCTCACAAAGTCCTACAGAATCCACTGGAAACCAGGGGCCCAGAATAATACGGGAATAAGGGGTCTTTGGCATAAACGTAAAGCAACAACGTCATCACTGATCCTGTCAGTGATCGGGACGGAGCTTTTTGGACAAGCCACGGCTTCTGTCGCTGAGTGTTGAGGATTAGATTCTCTCTCGATCTTGTCTCCCAACGGCCTGCAGGGTGGCGAGAGAGAGCGGCGAACCCAACCGGTGCGTGCCGGAGATGAGTGCGTTCTGGCATAAGATTGGTTGCTGTGTGGTAGCCAAACCTCCTCCGGTAAGTGTCCCGTTTTGAGAGATTTATAGCTTGATTTCCCAGACCTTCAGCTGATTAATACAGTGAAACCTAGTGTTGCGTGAATCACAGGTATTGATATAATGCTGCTTTTGAGATCAACATCTGGGCTAATTTCATCAGTCAGGCATTTCCAATGGCTCATGTGAGTTTTGTGCTCGCTAATCACGCAAGGAATGACTAACGTTGGTCTGGCACAGAAAAGAAACCTTTCAGCTGATGTGAATGTGACCCAGATAGTCTCAGGAGTGCAAATGTGTTTTTGAGAGTGAAGCCAGACGTGAAATGCAAATGGACAAAGAATGCTCTGTCACTGAACGGATGCGAGTGCAGAGGTAGCGTCATAGACCCAAACCACTTTGCATGTGGAGGAAGTACGATAAATGTTCCGACCCATGCATTTTCATTATCTTAAAGTGCACCTATGATAAAAATAAACTTTTGTAAGCTGTTTGGACAGAATTATGTGTAGGTATAGTGTGTTCACAGTCATATTGGAGTGTTATAAAGACAATAAGTCTTTTTTAAAAATGTATTTATTTATTTTTTATTTCCCGACGTTAAAATAGGATCCAAATCCCTGCCATTTTGAGGCCCACCGCAACTTGACGTAGGAGTGCTGTTTTCCAGCCCACCAAATTGATTGACAGCCGCATATTACCATGTCTCTTTAGTAACGCGTATAATCACATCAACAACCCAGTTTAGCTCTCTGTGATCATTAATCGTCATCAAATATGATCAAGAATTAGTTTAACGAGTTCAAAAAGTCTTTAAAACAGTGCATGAGAAAATTAAGGCCCTTAAAAGGTGTTAAAGTTTTAATCACATTTTTAAATTGTTCAAGCGCTGTCCAAAGTGTTTGACTCCAAAAAAAGCATTAATATATTTATTTGAAACCATAGATTGAAACAGACGACAAAATGGGAAAATGTAAGTTTACGTACTTCTGGTTGGAGATAGACAAGTTTAAACACTGGCTGAATCCTGTCACTGAAACAACTTTATAATATTAACAACTGTTTATTAAGGTAAAGGTTTGATACTGATTAGAACTTGAAGTGGCGATAAGGTCTTAAAATATTCTGAGAAGGTCTTTAAAAAGTCCTAAAAAGGTATTGAAATTACCTTTAGGGTTCGTGCATATAGCCTGATTTTGTACTTTGACATAAGAGCAGTGGATATTAATATTTATCCAGTCACATTTGCAGTGCAAAGTTAAACGCGTACGCTCTTTCTGTGTGCATGAACTCTGTGCTGACATTGTGCGTGGCTCATTGTTGCAGAAAGGCTTGAATTAACTCCACAACAAATACATCAAATAATCATTGTCATAGTGACAATATGATAACCTTGGATGTAAATATCACAGTATTGAGATTACTGCTTTAAAAAAAAATCTTTTTAAATGTTTGGATAAACAAAACCTTTTTTCCCTTTGTACACAATATATTTCAGTTTGGGAAACATTTAAAGTATTTGAATGCAGGAAACATGTCAGGGTAAATAGTTTAAATGAATGATTAACTTTTGCTGTCTTCATTAGTTTCAAAAACACAGATTTTTTTTTTTTATTTTCTGCTGGAGAAAAAAATGTAAATAAATACTGCTCATACCTTAGGAACGGTATTACAGAAAAAATTGACTGTTTTAAAACCTTGATTTTTCCAAACCGTGGTATACCTTGAAAACGGTTATCGTCCCATGCCTAGTAAAGTTCTTACTGTAGTATTTCTCACAAACATTACGTGAGATCTGCTTCCTTCATGTCTGTCACTGTGCTGTTTCTCACTCTGACAGGCACGTGGGAGCGGTGGGTGAAGAGAACTAGCATTAAAGGCACAGGCAACAAAAACCGCTACATTGTCTTCAGAGCAGAAAATTCTAATATTTTGAAAGTTATAATAAATTATCTGATGGGGGTTTTAAGCTGAAAATTTACAGACACATTCTGGAGACAAAAGATTTATCTTAAATCATAGGTTACAATGTTTTCTATCAAGACTGTGCACTACTGTTTTTTAAGTATAGGGCAGTAAAGTTGCTGGATTCCACATGATTCCTTTATATTGTCCCAAGCAAATCAATAAAGTTAACTTGAATGTTTTAACAAATTTAAGTGAATTGAATGTAAAACAAAACATTTAAGTTGCTCATTTGTTTTTAATTAGTACACCAAGAAGCAAAAATGTTTTTTTGAGTATACTTTTTACTAACAAAGCGATTAAATTGATTTAATAAGGTGACAGCAGCAATGTGTGATAATGAATATAAATCATGAATATAAAATAAATTCTGTTCAGTTAAAAAAAGAAATTATAGTATTGTATTGTAATGCATATATAGTATTGAGCAGTAAAACAGTTTTTTACAGTGAGATTACTGATGCTAATCATGTTTCTTGGCATCAAATCAGCATACGAGAGTGATTTCTGATTAATCTTATAATGATTACTGGAGGATCATGTAAAAATTCAGCTTCAACTATCAGAGGAACAAAGTTAAAGTGAAAGTTGATCCAAAAAAGAAAGAAGCTTGTCATCATTTGCTCAAACGTCAATTGTCACAGACCAGACCAGAGTTTCATTCTTCTGTTGAACACAAAAGAAAATGATGAAAGCAGATGCCCATTGCCTTTCATTGTATGTGTTTTTCCTGCTATGGAGGTCAATAGTTTACAGGTAAAACCAATTAAGCTTGAGTAAATCAAAAATTTTGACTCTCTTTTATAGGTGCTGTTCACATCTGTTATCAAAATTCATATTAGTCAATCCATTTACAGGTGGTCAATGCAAAATACAGGTGTAAATGTGTTCTAGAAAAAGTTTTGAGCATTTGCTGTCTAATATTTGCTGTCTAGTTTGATTTGAATGCAAAACTAAGAAGTGCAATGTTCTCATAACAGTTCTGACTCTAAAACAAAGCCACAAAGTTCAATGTAGTTTTGTGGCTGTGAGAGCAGAAACGAAAGCTGCCGCTGCTGTTTTTTGATAGACAAAATAAACATTACTGGAATTTATTTTGCAGTATTAAATTGAGAATAAGATAAAAAAAACTTGATCGAAGGAAAGTGATTGAAAATTGGCCGGAGCCACATCAATAACTAGGTTTGAATGTCGTACTTGCGGTCCAATCAACCAAAAATCCTAATGCAAGGCGTAAACAGGGCCTAAGGGACTTAAAAATATGAACAATGTAAACAATTACAATGTAAAACACTATCTTTGCCCAAACATGCGAACCTGATGAAGACCATGTCGGTCAAAACGTTGTGATTTTGTAATATTGACATTAAATTTTTTTGAGTGCTAAAGTGGCAGTGTGCCGATTTACTTTGAATCTTTTGCTACTTAATGTTTGTTTTTTGATCGTGCACCTGCCATCAAGATTTTCTAGATGTGCGCACATTTCTGTTTTTTTGCAATATTTAACAATGTTAACACTGCTGTTTTTGTGCAGAGAACATCCAGTAACTGACCACTAAAATTAAATGTCAGACAAAAAGCACCTTAAAATACTACATATGACCGTTATGATTTGATCCTCTTTTTCTAAAGCCACATTATCATATGAGAAGTTTCTGTTCTCTAAATTCATCCTTGTCCTTTGAAGTTCTCAAATCTCATCTTTGCTCATGCGCATTCAAATGTGGCGCCACAAGATACATTACATCAGATTTGACCTCTATTATAAAATGAAAACCGCAACAATATGTTGCATGTTCAAATAAAAAGATATCATAAAAGCACTACAGATGACGTCCATGCTTTTTATTTTGTCGTTAAATGGGACATTCTACCAGAAACGTACAATTTCACTTATAAAAAAAATGAACCAGGGCCTCACTTCCTTAAAAATTAAAATAAAAAATCATACAAAAACAAGCACAAAATCATACAATGCATTATGGTAGAACGCATCCTTGATCACTGTCAGCATCTCCTCCATTAAATCATGTCACTTCCGATTGATAGCCATAAACATGTATCGTACGCATTTTATATTAATTTTACTGCAAATGTGACCGGACTGACAGAAACATGGGGACAATTGTAAATGTATTTGTATTGTAAATTTGCAGTATTTATTTGTAGAATATATTTATAATTTCATGTTTTTAGTCAATTGATGTAAATGATAACAACTTAACTTTGCTATTTCTGAAGTTTTATTTTTTTAAATAGTAGTTTTTAGCATTACAAAACGATTAAAGCTGTAGGTTCAACTGGGATGAGGAAAAGGGCAATGACAGGGTTTGTAAATTTGTAAAGTGTTTATAATAAAGAACAAACATCTGAGAACCAAGTAAAAGACATATTCCTCAGTCCATTTTAGAATTTTTTTCAGGTGAAATACTTTTTATTCACTGTATTTATGTTTTTATTACCGGGACCGAACGTTTCTAGTAGAATGTCCCTTATATTTTTTCTTAAAATGTCCTTTTCCATTGAAGCTTGTGCATATTCAAAAGTATTTCCACAATCCCATTCAGACTTCTGAATCTTTTTCACCTTTCAAAAGGCACCTAAAACATATGAGAACTTAACTTAAAAGAAACTTTCACTTGATGTGAATACAAATGAATCGCTTAAATCTTCTTGGTCACAACAAGGCAAGTTTGAAAATCAATTTTATGTGAATTATGACCTAAATATCAGCCTGTTCCTCACACAAAACAATCATACAACTTCAAAAGGCCTTGAATGTAGAGCACAAGTCATGTGAATCTGTTTTATGGTGTTTTTATAATCCTCTTTGGCACTTGAGGCTCCATGACTGTCTGCTTTCATTTCATCGAAAAAAGACCTATTTTGGATGTTCTGACATTTTGCTAAACATTGCTGGAACGAAAGAAAGTTGGTGAGAGATATGTATTTTTTTGGTGGGACTGGACTTGGTATTCCCTTAAGCATCATGTTTATATTTCCAGAATAGCTTTGCATGTTTGCCAATTATTTGGCCGCGTTCAGTCTTTGTCAGTG